GCAGCGTTCTGTTTGGTTAGTGTTTTGCACAGAGAGGAAGGCTTGGTCTGTAAACGGGGTAGCTGCAGGCTCCTGCAACAGCAATAATGAAATAGCTGGAGGTTAACACTTTGATTGCGATCCTAGGTGTTAAAGTACGGAGGGACAAGACTCAGCTGACAGTCAGCGTGAACCAGTTCATGAAGAAGCTTGAGGATATTTCAGACGACGAAGCTCACGAGGTCCTGGAAGAGAAGAACTATGTTGCTGCTCTTGGAGTATGTGCCCAAGGTATTAACGGGGGAAAACCTAACACAGCTGTGACTTCAGGAGATTCTTGCAGTGTCAGGGTTGTACAGTGTTGATGAAATTGCTTTTGTGGGCTGACCAGCTCTGGCTGTGCTTGTAGTAAAAGGTAGAGGAGAGAATAATGTTTCTAGGATTTTATTATGATATTTTTTTCATAGCACCTGCAACAGAAGAGCCTCTGAGCCAAATAGTAAAGTGTTGCATTCCATCTTCCTTGGGTTGGGTATATACCAGTGCTTTTTAAATAGCTACAAGTAACATTTCTTTTCACAGATGAACTAGGAAATGGCTCAAGTGTAAGTGGTGATGAAGTTTACTCATTCCAGACTCACAAACGCTCCAGCAGAATGACAGAGCTGGGTACGTTTTCCTCTTTCTTCTTTTGTTTTTTCCTCTAGCTATGATCTTCTTTTGAATACTCTGATAATGTGTTTTGTCACTTCTGTTTCTTCAAAAGATGTGTTTGTAGTATTTCAGTAGCTTTTGTCTGGCTCTGAATAATGCTTCCTCAGGAATAAAAGCACAGGGCTAGGACAGAGCAAGGGGATGGGGAGTTAAGAAATATAGGTAATAAACACGTAAGAACAAGTAGAAGTTTCTTAATGCTGGGAGAAAGTCTGTGTAAGTGCCAAAGGATAGCAGCGGTTTGAATTGTGTAACTTAGAAGGATATGAGGATAACTCATTATGTAGCAAAGAGTCAAAAATAAAAACAGTATTAACTTTGTGTGTCAGGGGATTTCTCCAACTCCCTGGTGAGGCCACATCTGGAGTGCTGTGTCCAGTTCTGGGCTCCCCAGTTCAGGAAGAACAATGAGCTGCTGGAGTGGGTACAGAAAAGGTCTTTGAGGATGATTAGGGGACTAGAGCATCTCTCTTAGGAAGAAAGGCTGAGGGACTTGGGGCTTTTTAGTCTGGGGAAGAGACGACTGAGGGGGGATCTTATTGACACTTAGAAATACTTAAAGGGTTGGTTGTCAGGAGGATGTGGCCAATCTCTTTTCGTTGGTGCCCAGTGACAGGGCAAGAGGTAACAGGCACAAACTTGAACATAAGAAGTTCCATTTGAACATAAGGAGGACCTTCTTTACTTTGAGGGTGACAGAGCACTGGAACGGTTTGCCCAGGGAGGTGGTGGAATCTCCTTCTCTGAAGATACTCAAAACCTGCATGGATGCCACCCTGTGCAACCTGCTCTGGGTGTACCTGCAGGGGAGTTGGACTAGATGATCTCCAGAAGTCCCTTCCAACTCTGATCATCCTGTGATTGTGTGACTCAAAAATGCTTGGTACGGAACTGTGGACTTAGGAGAAGCAAGGAGAAAGTGGCAGTTCCGGCAAGAGTGGGCTGCTCTGGTTCAGATAAGGTGCTTGAACCCTGCTGCCACTGTTTCTTCTCACTTAGAGTCTTCATGTGCCCAGCATCATCTGAACTTTATTAGTGTTCAGCTGCCACAGCTGCTGATATATCCTACAGAGGATGGTCCAAGGGAGAGGGGTCATCCTTCTGTGCCACTACACAAAAACTAGGTTTCTGTACCACTTTACTTCTCCTCTGGGTTTCTGCTGTGTCTTGGGAAGTTGTATGTTTCTTACATCTTGCTCTGTTGCCGAGTAGGTTTTACTGGTTCTCCCCGCTGGAGCCATGACTCAGTTTTTCAAACTGAGGCAAATCATGCAATAGAAGGTTCTCTTGATGGACTGTTAGCAGGATAAGGGGGCCTCGCATATTCAGATCAGTGATTCAGAATCAGTTTGTGCCAGTAAGTAGCGGAAAGAGGTAAACAGAATGCAGGAACCCACCTTCTGGGGAACCGATGTGCTTGCTGGACCTGATGATCTACTACGTCCAGTTGAGCAGTTTTAAAGGACCAAGTGAGCACAACCAGACGTTGCTGTGGTTTGAAGGTACATGGTCTCCCCAGGAGCAAAGTGTGCTCTGCCATTGCCTCAGCTATACTTGTAAAATGAATTAACTGAGAAGTTCAGTCTTTGAAAATCTGTGTTAAGATTGACATTCACCATTCAGGTTAGGAAAAAAGATTGAAGTTTCTGGTGCGCTTCCTGAAATAGCTGGGAAATTAATATTTAGAGCATTTCGGGTGTGTGGCTCTATGGCTGACTAGGCAGAGCTGGGAGTTTTGTACCCGATATGTGAAAATTCTTCCCTTACCTCTGTTTTCTACAGCCTCTGAATTAGCACAGACACCAGGACGCAGCATTGGCCCTGATTGCTCCGAGTGCCCTGAGAAGACAGCCCAAACCCCTCAAAGCAGCAGTAAGTTTTGTGATGCTTTGAGGAACCGGAGCTGAGTGATTGGTTGGAGGAGTGAGTGCTTGAGTGCCAGCTTCTGTCATGATTTGAGCATTCTGGTCAGCTTAACATTGCAAACTGAATTGCTTGGTATGCATGGCCTCTGGTTCAGCTGGATGTCAGAGCTTCTATCCTGCCCTGCTGGTGTAAGGAAATCGGGAACTTTTCTCATCTGTTGCTGTGACACTTGATGATTTCCTCTGTGTCCAACAGAAATGCTTGCACTTGAGAGAGCTATGAGCTGGGCTGATGTGTTAAGCAACAAATGGAAAGGATCGCATGGGTGTTCCTGTGTAAATTCACTCCGTATGTAATATTCAAGCACCTAATGCTCTAGGGTGAAATACAGGTGGGAGAAGTCAGTGCAGCTCAGAGCTGGCAAGAGCATATTACGTTGTGCTCAGAAGTGGAGTCTGATGTGCACAGGGAGACGACATCAGCTTGGTTTTCAGCCTCTTCCCTCCTGCTGATGGCCTCCCAAAGCTGTGACCAGAATTAAAAGCTGCCTTCTGTGGTAATGACATTGTTTGTCTTTGTTCTCTCCTTGCCTGCCTGTGAGGAACTAGAGGCTTCCCTCACAGGATTAATTAAACAGGGAGCTGATACTCTGGTTTGGGGTACCTTTGAATTGTGAACACCTGTTTTTTCTGATGGACCATCTTGTGCCATTGAAAATATGCAGTGCTCTGAACAATGCTCTTTCTTGCTTTGCAGAACGATCGAATTCAAACAAAGCCCAGCAGAGGGTGAGTGGCGACTACATTGCTTGGGAGGGGAGGTTGTCATTGGCGTTTTTTTTTTACTTTTAAAACTAGAACTGACCAATTGCTACAATTCTGAAAAAGAAGGACCTAGAAGAGCCTCATCCATAGTACAAATGTCTCTCCTAATCCAGCTGGTCAGGAGTAACTCAGCTGAGAACCAGAGCTACCGTTAATCAAGACTGTGGGATTTAGAGTCAGTGGGCAAATACTGAGTCTCACAGCTTTATTAGCAGGAGTGGAGACTGTTTCCTTTTGTCGCACAAATGAGGATATTAGACAATACCTTAATAGCCAGTTAAACTTACAGGACATTAGTTGAAAGAATTAATCCCCTTTTTGGAACCTGATTCTATCCCTCTCTAGCTCTGAAAGGCAAACAAAACCACTCCACACTTACTGCTTCTGCTTTCCCAGTTTCTTGTGGGCTGAAACAGCTTAGAAATGTACTCGAGTCTAGTTCTTGCTTGGTAGAGGGCTGTTTTGAGGAGACATATGTTTCTTCTTCTAATGCATGTTTTTTGCTTGCTGTGACAGAGTAAAAAGAAGGAATTTGTGTCTACTACACCTTACAGACTCAGAAAGAGGCTAGCAGGTAAAGATCAACCTTTTCAGTCTGTTCCCACAGTGAGTGAGGCACTATGCAGAGGAGAGTGTTTCTCCTGGTGGGCTTCTGTCTGTAGTAGCAGCCTGCCTGAAGCAATCTGATTCACCCTGCAGAGAGTGTAGAAACGTCCTTCAGGAAGTCTGTGGACACCTCTTCCCTACAACAGATTGCTGTTTGGGTAACGGGTGGAAGGGTTAGAAGCATCAAGTTGCTGAACTTCAGTAACTTGGTCAAAAGAGACAAAACTCTCACTGATCTAGCCTATGCTTAAGTCTGGCACAATTGCTTGAACCAAGTCATAAAAGTTTTCCATGATGGCTGGGACATT